ATTTCCAAACTGGATGGTCTTTCCCTGCTTCTTCTTCCCACGTTCCCCCAAACAGACTCTGTGGTTGACTGAGACCTTGGCGTTCTCTTTCCTGGAAACTATAACCCATTCCTGGTACTCAGTGAGTACCGTGATGGATTAGGACTCAGGAGATCTGGGTTCAAATCCCTACTGAGTCATGGAATCTCGCCAGGCGTGTGGAACTGGTAAAACCATAATTGTTATTGAATGATCATGTACATGCTTGTGTTTTATTGTTTTATTTTGTATTGGAAGCTGCCTAGAGTGCTCAGGTAGTCCAGATAGGTGGGATATAAATCAAATAAATAAATAAATAATGAGAATAAATTTATATATCTCACTTATTCTGAAATCCTTATTACGGTCACTATACATCAGTTCTGACATGAGAGCACATAATACACACATATACCCAATTATAACTATATATGTCAGAGATTGAGAAAACTATTTTAATTATAATTCCCAGTAACTTCAGCCAACACAGCCACCCCAGGGCACAGGCCAGGCTGGTAGGATTCTTATTAACTTCAGAAGCCACTTTATATGGAATCAAACCTTTGTTCCGCACAGCCCAGCATTTGCCATACTTTTGACTGGCTGAGGGTTATTTGGGCGGAATTCCCTCCTCACCATATCTGGACAAACCGGGATCTTTGGCCCTCCATTCTGGTCCCTCACCAAAGGACTACCCTGTAACTCCTGAGATCAGGGAAGATCAGGCTTGTTCAGGGGAGAATGGGCAAAGTAAAAAGGGAAAAGGAATTTCTGCAAAGTTGTGTAATCCCCAAAACAGTGATTTTCCCCCCAGTCTCTGGTCAATGTGATTTGATTTCATTTTGTTGGAGTTTTTGTTTTCCTCATGGTAGATCACTTTGCACCCTTTTCACCTATGGAGAAACGTTTGTGAGAGCGCTTCCTTAAACTCCTTCGAGATTTCTAACTCATAACCGTGACCCAATGAACTTGGTTACCTTGCCATTCACACACCTGATTCCTCATCATGTATGACTGTTCAGAAGTACTCCATAAGGGCTTTTCCAGAGGGTCTTTTTTTTTTTAATTTCAGTTTTCACTGCTATAGAAAATGTATGTTACTCATTTCTTGCGCAGCCTTGCCTGGTCATGTTCTCTCTTAATGTCGATGACTGTATGGCTGTTGAAGGAATGTTGTATTTCCCCACATTTTCTACAGGGCAATGTGCCTTTCTTTCCCCAGATTGATGCAACAGCTGCCCGAAGCTTACCAATTAAAAACTTGACTTTTTCTACGACAGCTTCCAAAACTCCCAATCCCCCCACACATCAACAGTCCCACAAAGTATCTTTTTTTTCACAATTTGGCAAGCACAGGAGAGATGGTGCATGTGCCCTAAAATTATCGCCCACGTTAAGAACCACTGCCCTAAAATATATAGAAAATGTGCAAGCATCATCCCTAATGTCCAAAAATACTCAAAGACTCGCTGGATCTTCCTGTCTGGGATACTCTGGAAGTGATAGGGTGAAAAAGAAAGTGAACTTTCAAAGCTCTGACTTTTATTGCTAAAGACAGACAGCTGTTGTGGGATTTGCTGCACCACAATAACTTGGCTAGCTTTAAGTGCTAAAAACTTGTCCTTGCCTCAAGCAGCAAGATGCTTCAAGTTCTTCCAGCTATACCATTTCTACTGAATCTCCGTTCCTAATTCAGCAAAATATCCCTCTCTTCCCATTAAAGGTTGGCCCATCCAAAACTTACTTATCGGTCAGGAAAGAGCCATGTATGCCGTCTATAGCTTCCCTCAGTACAGCTGAGCTCAAAAAGTAGAAGACACCAATAATGAAGCTTCTCATTCATATACAACTCTTTCATCAAAGAATGGTATATGATGGTCCCATTTTTGTCCTCCTCAGCTCACTTCCCTGCAAGGTAGGTCTAGTTTAGGGGATTAGAGAAAGCATTTGGCAGGGTGGATTTGATTTAAATCCTGATTGAAAAAAATTGCATTTTTTTGGCAACTTAAAATAATTTGATTTTTAAGAATCATTGATTTTTATCCACTCTGATATCTGACCCACCGTTACCCACTGAACAGCACAGCTGTGTGCAAGAGAAAGATATCCAAAGAAAATTTTTCCTCTGGGGACAGACCAAACTGGCTGGTGAATTAGTTTTTGACACTGGTTATGGGACACTGTCGTGCCCTGCATCTGAAAGCAGCAAGTTAGCCAATGGCCAGGCTGGGTGGGGGATTTCAGGAGTTGTAGTCTGAAAAAGTACTATTTCCAAGCACACAGAATTGGAATCAAGCCTAAATTAAGAACTGTCCCGAATCTGGGCATTAAGGGGTCCCGCAATCTTACTCTAAATAGTACATCTTCTTATATGTACAGTGGACCCTTGACTTACAGACAGCTTGACTTACAGACTTTTTGAGTAACAGACTTCTCTGGCCGCAAAATTTAGGTTTGACTTGCAGCCTGAGAATTGACTTACAGATCAGAAAAAACCCAAAATGGAACAAAAACGGCCTGTTACGGGATTAATCGGTTTTCAATGCACTGTAGGTCATTGAAAGACTTACAGGCTTTTTGACTTGAGAACCGCCTTCCAATACGGATTAAGTTCTCAAGTCAAGACCCCACTAGTCTGGAAAGAAATTGCATTCAGAAGGATCTGGCAATCCCAGGCCATGTGTTGTGCATAAATCTGACTTGGAGGGGTGTGTGGTATGTCCAAAACCAGGGTGCATTGCCTTAAGCCCCCCGGGAAATGCAGGACAGGGTGTATCATAGTAGGGGTGTGCAAGCTTGCAAGTGTACTGCACTTTGCTCTAGGGAAGGAGAGAGAAAACCATCCCATGGACATTTGTTGAGCTGCAAGAAAAAGCATCAGGCAAGATTCGACAAGAGTCGAACAATCAGAGAACCGCAGAGTTCTGGAGTCGGAAAGGGGCCTCAGCAGGCTACCGAGTCCAACCCCCTGCTCAGGGCAGGAATCAAAGTGCTTGTCTAAATTTCCCTTGCCTCGTGACTTTCTCCCCAAAAGCCGCCTCGATGGGGGCCCCTTCTAACCAAAACCTCCTGACTCAGCCTTGAAGAAACGGGACTCCTTGTTCTTCCGAACAAGCAAGCGCTCCGGCGGAGGAAAGGCCGGGGAAGCCCCATTCGGGGACACTACGGTTCCATCCCCCCAAAAAATTCTGCCCGGGCTTTTTTGGGGGCCACTTTGGCTCGGCTACTCTTCTCTTCCCCCCCCCACCGTGCCCTTTCCCGCGCTTTCTGAGGGGCGCCTTCGATTTCCTTTTCTCCGCCTCTCCCCATGGTAAATGTAAAGCACATAGAGAAAATTAAGAATTACAGTGGTATTATTGTAAATAAAATTTATTGTTATGAGTGAAGCACCGGCAAATACCAAACAAGGATTTAAAAAATTAATAATTTCATATTATGATAAGTCAGTGTCTCACTTCAGTGTCCTGCCAGTAGCAGTAATAGTTGAGAACCACTGTCCTAAAAAATGTATTTTAAAAACCAGTAGGCCCAGGCATGAACTAGGTTTCAAAAGGAACATTCTTTTCCATTTTATTCCATTTATGAAAAATGGCAATATGTAAACATATGGTGTGCCTGATTCCTCTAGATGCAAGGTCTATTTCATAATAATGCTGGTTTTTAACCTTGCTGTATATTCAGTGCAAATATAGCTGCCGAGTGCCTTAGAAAGATGGTTTCTCTAATATATATATTCTCTTCCTTCCTCTCATCTACTGTAGATTCTTCCTGCAGGGTTTTGGCTTACAACTGCTTGGTATGCAACTCAGGTCCTATGCTTTGCAGTCAGTCCTGTTTGGGATAGACTCTGCTTCTATTGAATAGAGTTCATCATCATGCGCAAAGCAGGAGCTTTCTAGCGACAGCTGAAGACAGAGGGAAGAGACTGATTTTGTATTAAGGTCACCACAAGATTTTAGGAGGAAACGGTGTGCAATCTCAAGTTAATGAGACATGGGGGAAGCAAATCCATTTCCTCCAAACTGGGGCTCAACAGATAGGTGGGACTACAACTCCCACAATCCCCAGATTATGGGGATCATGGGTGTTGTGGTTTGCCATCCTTGCCATTGGTCCTGCTGGAATTATCCTCTTATTATGATTCTCCACCCCCACCCCCAAATCTCAAGAAATGGATCTCCCTTCTTCGGGACTACATGGCACATTTGCCTGAATAGCCAGCTGCTGAGCTGGAGAGGGGAAAGGTAGAAGGGGATGGGCAGCTGCCTTCCTGTCCTCCTTGGTGGCTTCTTGGAGGCACCTGATTTGAGAGCCGGCCCTGTCCATAGGCAGGTGGGGATGCTTGCCTGCGGCTGCCGGTCCAAAATGTGATAAGTAAGGAAGGGAACTGTTTACAGTCATTTATTGTTGAATTTTTACTAGCCGGATTGAGAAGGGTGTTTGTGGTATTTTCTGCCTCAGGTGCCATAATAACCTGGTTTGTACTTTTAATGGGTAATTGGGGTGGGGGGCCTCCAGCAGCAAAATGTGTCATCTTTGTTGGGAAGCGGGATTCCAGGGACAAACAGGATCTGCAAAACATACTGCATTTGCTCTGCATTCGGCACCTATTTTTATTTAGTTATAACGTTTTGGAATTGCAAGCCCTTGCTGGGAGAACAGAGTACTGCACATAGATATAGTTTTAGAAGAGTTAGCTTTGCCTATGAAAGCTCTCATTAAAATATAACAGCTAGTATTTAAGGTGCTACATGTTTTTGTCTTTTTTGTTTTGTTTCTTTGGATTATGCTAGACACAGTAGCAGGGCTTTTTGTGTGTTCTTAAGTGGTGGTAACAATTTTTACCATTAACATTAAAACATTTCTTTAAAAGAAGGTGTGCGTGGGTGTGCATGCGCATATTGTTGATGATGACACTTGAAGACATAGTAGACTTTTCTTTTGATGGACCAGTCACATGAAAAGTGCTGCCCATCGCTAGCGGCCATGGAAGCCATTTTTTGTGAGCGCTGTCCTAGAGAAAAGATAGTTCGTTTGAACAAAACTTGTACTTCAAATCATCTGCATTGATGCTTCAGTAATATGTATGGCTAATTGAATTTATTTCTCTCCTCCATTAATGGCAGATAGTAAATTAACGGAAAGTTGTTTTAGGAGTTGACATTTCTAATAATTTTCTTTATAATCAGTCAAATTTGGGGCTGAAATCGGCATGTAGGCGGCCGAATAAATAGATATGCACAAGGAGGCAAAATAAATAGATTTAATGGGGCAGAAATCATTCAAGAATAAAAGAGACCTTTTTCGACTATCACTCCCATGATTCCCCTGCCAGCATAGTCGAAAAAATAAACTCTTTCTCTTGGATGAGATTCAGGGATAGAAGCAGGTTCATGTTTTGAGTGTGTGTTTGTATGAGAAGAGATGTGTAATATACATTTATTACATACCTGCACACCAAATGAGTCCAGTTAATCAACGTTTTTCTTTTTTCCTCCTCAGGGATTCAGACAAGATGGCGTGTAATACTTGTAAAAAAAGACTCAGGCCCCAACAGGTGAGTTGTGAAAAATATTCTTGAGCATGAGCCTGAATGGATGTGCTATCTTAAACAGGGACTGTGCCAATGTCTTGATGTTATGTCAAATCTCTGCGCAAGTGTCTGAATTTGCAAAGGAAGCCAGCACTTCCGTCCCAAAGACTAAAGACCAAATACAGTACAAGCTGGTTTGCTTGTTTCTGAAGCTTCTGCTATGGCACACAAATGCTGATCCCCAAGATGAGGAATTAAACATGTGTGGGCTGTTTTGGGTACTTACAAGTGTGGTTTATTACATACCTGGTGTGCAGGTATGTAATAAAGTATCAAAGAGAAGGCACGCCACACAAAACAGCAGATATTCTGATGGAGAAGATTGGGGTCAGATGTTAGAATATCAAACATGTTGAATCTTTCTCGTTGTCCTCAGTTCCATAACGACAAAGCCGCGGAGAACGATGCTCTGGTCACACAAGTTGCTTGCCCCAATTTTGACTGCGCTTGGACCGGAACCCTCAAATCATACCAGGTAAGTTGTGGGAAGGCTGTCACTCCCCTCCTCCCGCCGTACGCCACACATACCAACCAGGGTGAAACTGGTTAGAGCCATGTTTCCTGGCTGGCTCATAGCATTCAACATATGTGCCTGAAAACGCCTGAAATTCGAAAGCCTTATACAGTGGTGCCCCGCAAGACTATGTTAATTTGTTCCATTGAAATCGCTGTTTTGTGAAAACATCATCTTGCGAAAAGCATTTCCCAATTGGAATGCATTGAAATCTGTTTAATGCGTTCCAGTGGGGAAAAATCGTTGTCGTTCAGCGACAATCGCCCATAGGGAACCCATTTTGCGAAGCGCCAATCAACTGTAAAATCGCCGTCTTGCAAAAAACGGAAGCAGCGATCATCTGTATATAGCGATTGCAAAAAGTCATCGTCCTGCAGTTTACCCGATTTGCGGGGTAATCGTCTAGCGGGGCCCCACTGTATAAGTCTTGGTAGCTGAGAGAAAAAGTTACACGTTTGGTTCAACTGTTTCAGCATCAAGTGGTGGGCTCTGTGTTTCCCTTCAGATTCAAATCCCTGCTGTCAAATCACTGATCAGCAACATAAGACCTCTCAGTTCATCTCTCTGCCTTGCCCCTGTGATATTCTGACCTGTCCTTTTTTATTGCAGGAACACACTTGCCCCCCTGTGGCACATCTGAGAACTTCAAGGAAAGCCATCTCTCCTCTTGGACATCAAGACATTGATGAAGAAAGGAAAAGCTGGAGTATCAGTAACCCTGTCACGGTAAGATATGAACTGGCCCGTGAAAGCCTGGGAGTGGAAGATGATGCAGGAAAGCATTGGGTTGTGGGAGAAAGAATCTGGCCAGGGGTGCAAATAAGGGTTAATGCTCAAGAACTTCAGAAGGAGAACCATACCTTAGAAGAAATTAGAGATTTTGAACAGAGGTGTGCAGTCCAGTTTGAGGATATAGTTATACTCCAATATTCAGAAAAGGGGTAGTTTTTATAAAGTGGGTACGGGAGAATAAAAAGAGACTTTTTTGGAGACTACAGTTCCCCAAAATAGATTGACGTTAAGTGAACCTTGATTTGGGTGGGTTTGATGACTCCCGTTGAGCCTCCTTGCTCTGTTCAGAGGTGTGATGCTTAATCATTCCCTCTCTAGGCTGATGCTGCCCTCAATGTGGAGGCTCTCCAGATGCGCATGGAAGCCATGGAGCTGCTGGTGGTGTCTCTGCGCCGACAGATAGTCAGCCAGGGAGCTGCGATGAAGTCCCTCCAGCGCAGCTGCTCCCAGTATGAGCGGCTGCTCAAAATGTCTCAGGAGACGCACGATTCCCCCCATGGAAGCCAAGGATCTGAGTCGAGGGGGCCGGAGCTGGTCAGCACCGACGGAACCCTGGTGTGGAAGGTGGAGAAGTTTTCCAAGCTCTTGAAAGAGGCCAAAGCCGGAAGGAGGCAATCCATCTACTCCCCTGCCTTTGCCACCCACGTTTATGGCTACCGCCTTTGCGTCCGGCTGTACCCAGACGGAGACGGCATCGGCAAAGGCGGCCACCTTTCGCTCTTCCTGGCCTTGGCGAAAGGACCTTACGACGACGTTCTGCCCTGGCCTTTCCAGCAGAAGGTCACCTTCTCCCTTCTGGACCCCAGACGGGACCCTGGTGTGGAAGGTGGAGAAATTTTCCAAGCTCTTGAAAGAGGCCAAAGCCGGAAGGAGGCAATCCATCTACTCCCCTGCCTTTGCCACCCACGTTTATGGCTACCGCCTTTGCGTCCGGCTGTACCCAGACGGAGACGGCATCGGCAAAGGCGGCCACCTTTCGCTTTTCCTGGCCTTGGCGAAAGGACCTTACGACGACGTTCTCCCCTGGCCTTTCCAGCAGAAGGTCACCTTCTCCCTTCTGGACCCCGTGCGGAAGAAGTCGCCCGTGACGGAGACCTTCCTTCCGGATCCCTACAGCACCTCCTTCCACCAGCCACGGGACAGGCTCAACGTGGCTAGCGGGAGCCCCCTCTTTGCCAGCCATGTTGAGATTCCCAGCTATCTCAAAGAGGACACGCTGTATCTGAAAGTGGTAGTGGATAAGACAGGAATAGAAATCTAAAACTGGAGACTGTCGGGGAAAGATATGAATGATTCTTCTCTGCTCCTCCACTTTTTTCCTTCCCTTCTCCTCCCCAAAGTTCCCTTCTTCAGCTTCCTGAAGCTGGTCAGCTCAGTGTTCCGATCCCCATCATCCCCAGCAAGAACGGTGTCCACTACACTTCCCATGTTTATATGGATCTACACTACCTCACCCATGTGTCCAAAATCCATGGAATGTCAGCCCTTGATTCACACTCAGGTGGAACATTGAAGGCCTCTTAGACTTACAGGATGTTTCTAGCCGTATGATTGTTTTTTTTAAAATAAATTATTCAAAAATATGATTTTGTTTCCAAGAATATAGCAATTCATAGAGGATTCGAATTCATAGAGTATAGGTGTGGTTTGGTATTTCTTTTTAAAAGTATGTTTCATCAGAAAAGATGCAGAGTGTGGGAGGATCCATTGATGTCTCCTCATGTTGGGAGCTTCAGGTGCAAGACTTGAATGTGATGATTTTAAATAGGAAGTCATTTATTCATTCTCGGCACTTTAAATAGGGCTTTGCAATCACTGAGGATTCCAAGAGGTACATCCTGAAACATGACAGTTTTTTTCTACCTCACATGCTATTTATTAACAAAGGTATTTATTTATACAACAGTACTGTACTTGATGTTGTGGAAATCATAATATTAAATATATTTATATGATTGAGAATTGACGTGTTCTGATTTTGGTGGGTACAAAACCTGAATATACACCCGGAAACAAAGAGAGACGTTAATGAGGTACCATTGCCTACGGAGCCTCACAAACCCACCACCCCCGCCATGCATAAAGGCACCACTTAAAGTTCCCTCAGAGACTGAGGCAGACTGCAGGAGATAGGTCTGTCTGCTGATGCCCTGACATTCATTTCCTCCTATGAAGGAGAATGGGCGCATAATGCTCAGTGGGCTGCTGACAGAGCCAGGGTGTAAGCGTTGGGCCTCCCTGAAGAGAGGCCAGGCATGATCACCTGGAGTGTGTGTGGCTGGCGACATTACGTGCCCTGGCACCTGTGTGGCCGTGGGCAAGCTGCACTGTCCCAGAGGGCCACCAGAAGGAGGAACTAGGAAACCGATTCTGACTTCTTTATCCCTAGAAGGCCTTGGGAGGGGTCTGCCATAAATCAGAATCTACTTATGTGAGGGTTCTCTTTACTTCCACATCTAGATCGGCACACAACACTTGGCCATGAATTATACCTAAAGGATTTATTATAGGTACATTTAGAAAATGTTCAATAGTGACAGGAATATGTAACTTCTCTTCCTCACACAATGGTGTGCAGAAGGGATTAACTTCTGGTTTCTCAAATGTATTTGAAACAAAATCCAAAGCTTTTCTCCAAGGAGAAGTCCATCAACGTGGCATCTTGTGGAACTGACAGAAGGAGCACTTGGTTCCCTCCAGATGCCCTTTGGTGTACTTAAGAACATAAGAAGAGCCCTGCTGATCAGGCCAAGGAGCCATCTAGTCCAGCTTCCTGTATCCCCTCAGATACTTTTTCTCTAGAATAAACAGCCCCAAACGCTGTAGCCTTTCCTCATAAGGGAGGTGCCCCAGCCCAGTCATCATTTTAGTCACTCTCTTCTGCACCTTTTCCAGTTCCACAATGTCCTTTTTTGAGGTGCAGCGACCAGAACTGTACACAATACTCCAAGTGCAGCCTTACCAGTATTTTGTACAATGGCATTATAATGTTGGCTGTTTTATTCTCAATCCCCCTTTTAATGATACTGTGAAGAGGAGCCTAATGTCACGGTCATGCCTGGAGGTGAGCGGTCCCCCCAATCGTCTCGGGCGAAAGGAGTCAACACCCTTTTATTCACCTTGCCTGTGAGGATGGAGGACCTAATTGTAGGGGGAGGGCAGACAGAAGAGAGGGAGGGAGAGGAAAAGGCAGGAAAGGAAAAGGTGAGAGAAGGCTTCTTGATGACAGGAGAGAGATGGAGAGAGTGGGAAGTTGGGGCTTTGAAGAGTGGATTGGACCGGAGGGAGAAGAAAAGGGGGGAAAATAGTGCAGGACCACAAAAGGAGGAAGAACCATATGTATTTTCTGTTCCTCAGCGAGAGGAAGGAAAAAGAGAGTACATGGCTATGCATGAGGACCAGGTCCAGGATTAGAAATACAGTTGGGAGAAGCAGATCCTTTAAAATGGACTCTGTTTTATTCGAGACTCTGATAATCCTGTTCAAGATGGCTGAATGAAATATTCCACAAATTTAAAATTGTATTGCATAGCCTGTTACCCTGAGGGTGCTTGACTTTCCTGATGAATTGGTTAACTCTTTTCCTGATGAGCTTTTCCTGTTTAACCCTTTTGCCAGTGGGTGCATTTCCTGTAGAACCAAATAAGAAGTTTGCCTCTGGTTGATTTCCAAAGTGGATGATCTCTCTTTGCTGGTTCCTTTTAGGTCGCCCAAACAGACTGTGATGTAGATTGAAGTCCACCACTTTCCTGGTAGCTTAAACCAATTCATGGTACCCAGTGTAGCACAGCCGTGAGAGTGACAAACTAGGACTCAGACAACCTGGGTTCGAATCCTTGCTCAGCCATGGAAGCTAACTAAATGTGTGGAACTGATAAAAAAAAACATATATGTGTCTTGCTTATTTTGAAATCCCTGTTAGGGTCACTAGACATCAGTTCTGACTTGACAGCACGTGATACACACATATGCCCAATTATGACCTCTGACCCTCCATTCTGGTCCCTCACCAAAGAACTACCCAGGCCCTGTAACTCCTGAGATCAGGGGAGACCAGGGCAAAGGGAAAAGGGATTTCTGCAAAGGTGTGTAATAAAAAAAAAGTGATTTTCTCCAGTCTCTGGTTGTGAGAAGAAACAAGCCTCCACCAGGAAGGAGGAGGGTGAGCCACCCCCTCAAGTGTCTACTACGGAGGGATACCAAACTGTTTTTACACAGTGTTATACCCGCGATAACCTAATTAAGAGTGCAAGAGGAAAAGAGCAGGGGGGAGAGGAGAAAAAGTGCAGGAAAGCAACGGTTGAGACGGATGCCCCAATAGAAGGGCATCTGGTGACGGAGGTGGAGGAAGAGATAAAAGGAGAGGTGGACTGGGAAGCAGAGGTAGAACAGGTAGAAAAGAGTGGGGAAAAGGAGGATATACTGTTGGGACGGGGATGGAGGCAAATGGGGGATCCATGGACTTGGGAGAGAGTCGGGATGAAATTGCCTATTGACGAAATAGTGAGGAGGCATCAATACCGCATGGCCAGTCAACCCGAAGCTAAGAAAGAGAGAGAGAGAACGGAAGACCCTAAGAAGGGGAAAGAAGGGATAGCTTTGCAACGGGGAGGGGGGAGCAGAACTGATAGAATGGACCATTTACATGCACCCAAAAGGGGAAGATCTTGGGAAGAAGGAGGGCTGACCTTTGTCATTGAGTCACCCCACAACACACATGGAAGGGGAGTGGGCTCGATACCCCTGCCGTGGAACCATTTGCTCCAGTCTGAGGAACCCAACATGGAAGCCAACCGATTGCGAGCGTTTTGGGGTGAACCCTTGTGGGTGAATTCTTTTGCTACACCTGAGTTAAAGGACTTTTGTTTTAGACGGAATATGTTAGATGGACCCGCTGGTCCTACAGAAGTTAGTTCATGGTTCTCCACAGTTAGATAATAAAACGTTTATGCATCCTAAAGTATTGTTGTCAATTCTTGGAGGAGGATAGAGCCTAAACTCGAACACACGCACACACACACACACACACAAACACACACACACACACAGAGAGAGGTCAAAAGTTAGGATTTCAATTCATTTTATTTTTTTCCCACACTTTGCACTCTTTTCACCTCGCCTATGGAGAAACGTTTGATAGAGCACTTCCTTAAACTCTTTCTGGATTCCTAGCTTATAACTGTCACCCGTGAACTTGGTTGCAGTTCACGCCTGACTCATGCATGACTGTTCAGGAGTACAGTACAAGGGCTTTTCCAGAGAGTGTTTTTTAATTACTATTCCAGTTGGCACTGCTATAGAAAATGTGTTACTCATTTCTTGCAGTCATGTTCTCTCTTAAAGGGACTGCCGATGACTTGTTGGCCTGTTGAAGGAATATTGTATTTCCCCACTTACCTACCCGGCAACGTGCATTTCTTCCCCCAGAATGATGCAACTGCTGCCTGAAGTTTATCGACTAAAAACATTTGTTGAGCTGCAAGAAAAAGCACCAGGCAAGATTCGGCAAGAGCCGAACAATCACAGAATCGCAAAGTCGTGGAGTCGGAAGGGGCCTCAGCAGGCCACCGAGCCCAACCCCTCTGCTCAGGGCAGGAATCAAAGGTTCTCCGCCAGGTCCTTGTCTAAATTTCCCTTGCCGTGTGACTTTCTCCCCAAAAGCCGCCTCGGGGCCCTCTTCTAACCAAAACCTCGTGACTCAGCCTTGAAGAAACGAGACTCCTTGTTCGTCGGAACGAACAAGCGCTCCGGCGGGGGAAAGGCCGGGGAAGCCCCATTCGGGGACACTGCGGTTCCATCCCCCCGAA